ATATATGGAACAACATTAAACAGCATTCAGTATGTGTAAACGTTCCCTCTGGTCAGCAGTGATGCAGTGTTTATGTTGAGGTGAAGCTGCTGCTGACAAAGGGGGAGGCAGTGAAGAGTTTGCAGTCCTGGATCAGACTATGGGGTCTCTGTGATATTATTTTATTACCTTCATAAGTGTGGGCACAACGCTAGCTAGCAGCAGATCGGCAGCAAGTGGTAGTTTAGCAGATCAGCTGATGTTCTCTGCTGTAAACAGTGCTACAAAACTATAAGTGCTTGAGACGGTCAGTTTCGTGGCACCGTTTAGATGCACCTGCATTCATGTGTCTGAAACAGACAGCCGAGGAGCAGCAGAGCAGTAAATACCTGAAATACCTGACTATTTTGGTGCAAACATTTACCCACCAGTGTGGCGCATAGTCTGCCAAGATTTACACCCCAAATGAAAAATCCAACCACATTTGGTGCTTGGCGGATGTGATTTCAGACCCTGTGTAAGATGGAGACAAACTACAGAAAATAGGCGTTTACATTACGGTTACTTCCACCTGACAAAACAATGGAAGACAGAGAATCTCCTGTGGAACCATGACTCCTTAAAGGCTTTGAAAATACTGTTCTGTAACTCAGCTCAGCCGAGGTCTAAGTGTGTTTCACACCTGTGTTTTTAGTCTGGTTAAATGGGAACTGCCCATTGGTTCGACAGCCCATTGTTCCGACCATATTAAACTCATTGTTCCGAAGTCCGTTCCAAAATCATGATGATGCCCTGTGGTTAAGGTCTGGTTAGGTTTAGGCACAAAAACTACTTGGTTAGGGTCAGGAAAAGATCATGGTGTGGGTTAAAATGAAAAAGAAAGTGACAAACACATAAGCCGTGAGCCTGCTCCGCCTCAAGCCGGTCGCGGCGCACCATACGCCCGCCGCGAGCCGTTCAGCACCATGGACAGTCGGACTAATGGGATGTCGAACCAATGGGCTGCCGAACCAATGACATGGACCCGGTTAAATTAGACTCTGGTTGATTTCCTCCCTTGGTGCAATTGACCTATGTCTAAGCCACGCCCCCTCCACTCACTCGGACAAACTATTAACATTCAGTGAGCGGCGCTATGGCAGGTGTCACAGTACACGACATTTCACAGGAAGCAACTGATGATTTTTGGAGACATAATGATCAGATGTCATTGAGAAGTAACCAAAAGGGCCTAAACTACGCATTGGAGGGATATATTCATCATTTTATTGTTGAGAAGGTCGATGAAAAGCTTAAATTACAAGCCAAAATTTACAGGTCACAGTGTACGCTTGTGAACCGCATCTGGTTGCCGTCACCATCAAAGACAACAAGTTAAAGTGCCACTGAAGTTAAGGTTTTTGGCTCAGAATATGAGAAAAGGATAACGGCCTTTTTACCATCTTTACCAAGAGTGTCTCTCCGTTAGTTTGGTGCTTCAGTATTTACACTGAATCATTCAGCATAACGTTTGCCAATCTTTGTTATCTCTGCCATTACAGATAAGTTAATGAAGCTAAGCTCCAGAAGTCAACGTTAGCTTAACTAGAGCTCTTTGGACAACAGCTAACAATGATGTACGATCACCAAAGTACAAAACTAGAACAAAATAGGCTAATGAACTCCCAGCAAACAAGGTGACATGATGAACAACGCAGCTAGGAGCTAACGTTAGGCTAACTTTAGCTAACGTTAGCTAGAGATGTTAAAGATAACTTTATATTTCTTTCCAGCAAAGTGACAATATGTTGCCTCAAACACAATGTTGACTTACCTTAGAACAGATGTAGACATCATTGTTAATCTTATTCACGTTGAGTTGATGTTGTGGTCTAACGTTACCACACAACTTTATCCAAAGGACCTTTATGCTCTGCCATTTCTCCTCTAATCATCATGCTGTAACCTGTGACAGGCTGTTATGATACCACAACTATCACACAGTCACATACACTGCCTGGCCAAAAAAAAAGTCGCCACCTGGATTTAACTAAGCAAATAGGTACGAGCCTCCTATTGGATAATTACTGCATGGGCGATTATCTTTCAGCTGGCAACAAGTTATTTAACCCCAACTGGTGCAATGAGTTGCTTCTCATTTCCTAAACAACCATGTCGAAAGACACATCCCGTGGTCGTGGAAAAGATGTTAGTCTGTTTGAGAAGGGTCAAATCATTGGCATGCATCAAGCAGAGAAAACATCTAAGGAGATTGCAGAAACTACTAAAATTGGGTTAAGAACTGTCCAACGCATTATTAAAAACTGGAAGGATAGTGGGGACCCATCGTCTTCGAGGAAGAAATGTGGCCGGAAAAAAATCCTCAATGATGGTGATCGGCGATCACTTAAACGTGTGGTGAGATCAAATCGAAGAAAAACAACAGTAGAACTCAGGGCTATGTTTAATAGTGAAAGTAAGAGCATTTCCACACGCACAATGCGAAGGGAACTCAAGGGATTGGGACTGAACAGCTGTGTAGCCTTAAGAAAACCACTAATCAGTGAGGCTAACCGGAAAAAAAGGCTTCAATTTGCTAGGGAGCATAAAGATTGGACTCTGGAGCAATGGAAGAAGGTCATGTGGTCTGATGAGTCCAGATTTACCCTGTTCCAGAGTGATGGGCGCATCAGGGTAAGAAGAGAGGCAGATGAAGTGATGCACCCATCATGCCTAGTGCCTACTGTACAAGCCTGTGGGGGCAGTGTTATGATCTGGGGTTGCTGCAGTTGGTCAGGTCTAGGTTCAGCAACAGTATGTGCTCAAAGAATGAGGTCAGCTGACTACCTGAATATACTGAATGACCAGGTTATTCCATCAATGGATTTTTTCTTCCCTGATGGCACGGGCATATTCCAAGATGACAATGCCAGGATTCATCGGGCTCAAATTGTGAAAGACTGGTTCAGGGAGCATGAGACATCATTTTCAGACATGGATTGGCCACCACAGAGTCCAGACCTTAACCCCATTGAGAATCCCCATTGAGGGATGTGCTGGAGAAGGCTTTGCGCAGCGGTCAGACTCTACCATTATCAATGCAAGATCTTGGTGAAAAATTAATGCAACACTGGATGGAAATAAATCTTGTGACATTGCAGAAGCTTATCGAAACAATGCCACAGCGAATGCGTGCCGTAATCAAAGCTAAAGGCGGTCCAACGAAATATTAGAGTGTATGACCTTTTTTTTTGGTGGTGACTTTTTTTTTGACCAGGCAGTGTATATGGAGTTTCTTCACGTAGGTTTACATCACCAAAGGTTTATGACAAAATCACTTGACGACACGGTGAGAGAGGAGAGGGAGAGACGCTGTGCTGCTGCCAGAGGAGCCGCTGAATGAGTTCCCTCTGAGCGCTAAGAGAAGTAAAACATTCAGGACGCCACAGTTTATTCCACACTACTGAAGCTGCTCCTCTTTTTGGATCCACTGCAGAGTAGGTAATAATTTCACTTTCAGCCATGATTGTTGTTGCCGTGGGTAACAGTATGACTTCAATATGTCAAGAAGTCGAAATATCTCACAGTATCAGTTTTTTAAGTGATATCAATCAATCAATCAATTTCGATTCAATTTTATTTATAAAGCCCAATATCACAAATCACAATTTGCCTCACAGGGCTTTACAGCATACGACATCCCTCTGTCCTCATGACCCTCACAGCTGATCAGGAAAAACTCCCCAAAAAACCCTTTAACGGGGAAAAAAAACGGTAGAAAGCTCAGGAAGAGCAACTGAAGAGGGATAAAGAAATTGGTGCTTATCCAGGTTTTTATGTCTTTAAGGCAATTATGAAGTTTAGTTAATTGATTAGTTTCTTCTGGCGTAATCGATACAACTGTGTATCATCCGCATAACAATGGAAATTTACAGAGTGATTTCTAATGATGTTACCTAAAGGAAGATATATAGAGTAAATAGGATTGGTCCGAGCACAGAACCTTGCGGAACTACAGTGCTGAAAAGAAACCTGGGGTTGTTCTTGTTTTCTTCTATTAATGCTGAGTAATAGTTTGCTCTGGCATTGCAGAGGCCCCTCTTATATGTTTTGAGACTGTCTGTCCAGATTAAACGAGATTCTTCCAGTTTGGTTAATCGCCAATTCCTTTCAAATTTTCGCGATATTTGTTTTAACTTATATTAAAAATGATGCCGTTAATGTGATGTGTTACCGTGAACGAGACGATATGGCACACCCCTGGTAAGTTGTGAGAAAAACGTTAACACAAGTCATGTTATCGTTGAACAAACAACTGATGCTGACGTTTTTCTATCACAGGTCAGATGTGTCTCTGCAGCAGCTGATGAGGATGAGGATGATGAGGATAAGAAGCAGGGATGATGGTGAGCTGTAATTGGTCAACAGCTTTGCCTCTAATTAGGTTTTTCATCAGATTAGACTCAAAGTCCTTCTTGATCTGGTCCAGAGAGTAGACTGAAACCTGGGACTGTGTGTGCTCATCATGTCTGTGAGTGTGTGTTGTAGCCGTGTTAGGTATGAGATGTCCTCCTGCTGCTGCCCCTGAGCCAGGCACTGACCTCAGAGCTGCTGACGCTCAGATGAGTCCCACACTGAGGTCGAGTCCCCCCGCAGGACTCAGTGACGTGTAATTAATATGTACACAGACGTGTGTTTGTTTCTGTGTTAATATTCAGCTCGTTGTGTGTGTGTGTGTGTGTGTGTGTGTGTGTGTGTGTCGGGGCATCATGTCACTGTTGGTCGCCCTCCCTCTCTCCCTCCCTCTCTGTTTCAGCAGCCAAACTGAACCTCAGGGTTTCTTTTCTTCCGGCCGCTCTGATTGGTCGCAGGAGAGCCTGTCTCCAGAAATCGCTCTAATCCTCTTAGATAAAACAGAGCCCTCGTCCAATCCCCTGCTCCAATCCCTCCCCCTCTCGTCTCCCTCTCGTTCTCTCTCTCTCTGTGGGGAAGAGGAGTTTTTAATCCAAGTGGATTACGTTGCAAATTGGGTGACAGTGGAGGCGAGCGGCTGCAAAATCTGCTGCAGACGGCCGCTTTGTGTCTTCCTTAATGTGTGCAAGGTGGAGTCATTAACACACCCATCAGTTCTGGTTTCATGAGGAGCTACCTGGAAGAACCTGGAGCAGGTGCACAGGAATCTGTGGAGTCTCTGACATGGACCAGATTTCATCTTTAACCTCAGGAGTTTCTTCTTCTTGCAGATTTTAAATCTCTGCTAGTTTGTTCTGGACGACTTGAAGTCATTCAAAGTCCTCTGGAAGTTTCTTCAAAGAGGATGAGGAGCTAAACAGGAAGTGGTGGGAAGATGCCGGCAGCACAGCAGGTTTATCCAGACATGACAGAGAGCGTTCGGGGTCCCACCGCCGTCTTCTTCTTCTCCTCTCTTTAGCCAACATGAGGAAGCCGTTTCCTACAAACCCCTTATGATCCTCTCAAACTTTCAGAGCTGATCCCAGTTTGTGAAACCGCCTCCGAGATTTTCCGAGTCCAAGCTGCAGGGAGCTTGTTGTCGGGAGTTGGAAGCAGGATGGAGAGCAGGACACTGGGAATGAGGAAGCTCCTGAGAATTCTGGGATTTTTCTGCCTGTGGATTACAGCTCAGGCTCAGATGAAGATCCCACCAGAGACGTAAGTGTCCTTTACTTCTTCTGCTGGATCTCAGCTGCAGCTTTAAGTTCCACCTGCTGCAGGAGAATAATTATCACATGTATAATCAGCTGATTAAGCCCCTTAATGTGCAGGTGTCTCCTTTCTCACTCTACAGGACTGTCAGCTTCAAAGAATTCTTAAACTGCAGCTCCATTAAATTTGAATATTCTAGATTTCCTGTACATCATTAAAGACATATTTGGTATCTTTGGAAACATTCACATCTCCAGAAAGTTCTGTTGGTGTTAACAAGGTTTGGCTGCACAGCATGAGTTTGTGACGCACAGGTCAGTGAGGAAGTGCAATTATCCCACCGCATTGGTAGATTCATTTATTTTAGATGCAAATAAATCGTGCTAACATTTATTTTTACTGGTAATTGTTTCACCACCATCGATCCATTCAGATACAAACACATCATTATTTGAATTTCATGATACAGTGCCTTTAAAATCTTAAAAATGCTTGTCTTGTTTTTACATTAAGAAGCACCACATCCAACTGCTACAGCAAACATATCTGCTCTGTAACTACATCCTGTGTTCTTATTTGAAAAACATGTTAGAAACCAAAAGAGAGAAATTTTCCTATTTTAAAAATGTCTTCATATCATGATCCCGCCCCTGACCTTTGCATCAGTGTTTCTGAAAACCATGCAGCCAGTCTAATTCATATATATATTCACATATTTGCATAAAGCAGTAACGTTGGCGTCTGTCAGCCTGCTGCAACACAACCACATTAGCTTTCCTGCTAAACTCTCCCTCTTATCCAGCTTACAAACATGCACATGCATCTTGTTCTGCACCTCAGCTCCCTGAACGAGTAATCAAACAAACTTTAAGCTGGGAAAAGTGCACAGCTAACATTAGTTTGTTCATCAGAAAGCCAATTAGCTGCTCAGCTGAAGCACATTAAACAGCATGTAAACATACCTGCAGATAATAGTGGTATAACACACTGATTTATTTACATGTGTATAGAAGTCTGGTTTTGGCCCTTATTCTGAAAAAGACAAAAATCCTAGTAATCCAATAATGAAATCGAATATTCCACTAATATTCCTGTTTACATGCAGCTGTGCATACTCTGATTACCAAGCTCTAAGATGTCGTTTATCACGTCAAAACATAGAAGAGAGGAACGGCTGCTGTTTTACCTCTTCCTGTCAAAACAGTATTTTTTTTTAACTTTTCCACAGGTGTGAACACAGCCTCCCTCTTTCATTCCTTCAACACTGCACATCCAAAAACCTGTTGACTTCCAAGTCTTTCAGAAGGTTTAAAAGTAGGTGTGAAGAAATGTCGACCGTGTTCCTCTGAGCGTGCATCTCTACACTGGCCCTGCAAACTTGTTGGTTTGTGCACAACACACAGAGCTGAGCGTAAACAGGCGAGAGGCCGTGTGTCGCAAATTGAGACGCGTATTCTGATTGTGCTGTTTACATGTCTAAAGACTGCTCCTGAAACCTGAGTCATATCAGTGTATCCCACATTTCTTAGTCAGAAAATGCCACAGCTGGAATAAGGCCTGATTCAGGATGTCCAAATTGACGATGCTCTTTGAATGACCCGTATCAGAATATTGTCATACTCAGGGTTATGGTGGAATATAATTGTGCATGTAAACATATTCACTGGCTGCTCATGCCTTGTAAGACAACGCTACAACACAAGTGTGTTTGCTGTCTCTGTCTTGTTCCCCTGCTGGGGCTCAGCCTGCCAACTGCTGTCAATCAAACACAGCGGCTGAGACAGTCAGGGAGTGTTTCTGATATAAGTCCTTTATTTCTTCCTGTTTAATAATGAGATCAGAACTGTTAACAGTACATTTTAGAAAATATGCTGACATTATTTTTGGGGATGATTTCAGTTGGACTTTAAATTGATCCAATGAAACATTTATTTCCAGCAGCTCATGCAGACCATTTGGAGATAAGCACCATGTTATTATCCTCTGTCTTCATGCAGCAGTTGCTACAGTCACACACAGGTCTGTTACAGTCACACTAACAGAACCCTGGTCGCGGTTCTGCTGTGGATGTGCCTTTGAGCAAGGCTTTGTACAGGGCAGCTCCCTGTGTGAACAAACTGTGTGGATTTTAATAGAAGGCTTATATACTGTAGAGCAGTCCTTATTGGACTTGTTCCAAATAAATTAAGCCTCTGATAACAGCCTCCCAGAGTGCACTGTGTTTTCATGGCGACCCTGAGGGAATACGTTGGTGTCAGTTGACTGCAGTTTTCCCTCAGGACTCACTGAAATCTGCTCTCCTCTGTTTCTGCCCACAGCTCAGGCTGAGCAGAGAGATTAGTCCAGGTACAGCTGCTGTAAATGAGCTCATATATACTGTTTAATTTAGAGTTAATATTACCAGGAGAGCTTCGTGTCCAGGCCCAACTTTAACCTGAACCTTTAACCTGAACATCAACCTTTAAATTGTCTGTTAAAGAGGTCACAGCAAATCATCACTTTACAGATCCAACACTCTTATTAAGAGACATGCATAAAAATATGAAAGGAAGTGTTGCGCCTGAAACAGCTGCTTCACACTCTTTAAAATAAACACAAAACAAAGCAGAATGACCTAAACGAAAAAACTGAAAACAAAAAAAAAACATAAATAGGTCAAAACACACACAAACACCAATAAAAACATTAAAATATATATAATATATAAATACAATTTTATATAAATATAAAATACTTGAACACAGCTGGCTGATCAACATTTCATTGGGGAGTCTCAACCAGATTATATTCTTCCTTCTTTAAAATCCAACTCAGTAACTTTTCCTTTGTCCACATTTTTAAACTGTGCTTCCCAGAATGCACCTGTCAGACAGTCCCGTTGTGGTCGCTCATACTAACAGCCTCATTAGCATGGAGCTGTCGGGCAACATTAACATGAAGCAGCAGCCGGACGTTCAGCGCTGCTGCTTCCTGGAGGACACACTCTCCCTCCTCTGTTACCATCTGTGTGCCAGCATGGCTAACTGGCCACCGGCCACGCCCCGTCAGCCCGGTCACCTTCTACCCTGACCCATATTCACCGCCCGCCCAACCGCTGCAGGCGTGGACACAGATCGCGTGTCACCTGGTCACAAACCACACATGCAGAGCCAAAGATGTGACTTTGTGATGCAAAGTGAAAATTACTGGATTTAGTTTCAGTTGATGTGGAATTAAAATGCTGGTGAGGACAGGAGGTCAGGAGTGTGTCACAGCATGGAGGAAATATTCAGATCCTTTACTTCAGTAAAAATACTCCGTTACAAATAAAAGTCCTACACTGAAAATGCTCCTGTAGTAAAAGTATGTTAAAGTAAAGAATAAAAATGTCCCCACTACTTTTATAGACAGTATTATTAGATTATTACTCATGCATCTAACTAAACTGGAAGTGTCTTAAATCGCATACTTCTGTTCTAAACACTTAATATTTTGAGTGTTTAGAACAGAAGTATGCGATTTAAACACTTAATATTTTGAGTGCACAAGTGCACACAGCATAGTACAGGAAAATGCAGTGTCCTTCTGGTGCACTCAGGAGGTCAAAAGGTTGAGTGTGGAATGATGGACTCTTCTCACCCTGACCTGTCGCCATCTTTGTGATGTAGCAAACGTAGTAACCTTTGACACGGTGGCTGCAGCACGGGGCCTGTTATTTTTACTATTTCTGTTTCAAAACTGTTGTCGAATAGAAGCCGTCAGTAATGTTTGTTTGGTCTGTAATGATTTGTTACTTGGAACAATAATGTTTTAATCAGCAGTAATGTTAATGACAGAGTAAATCTGGTTCATGTGTTGGCGATAATGCTCCACCGTCCGTTTGCAATTCATGCGTGATTTGAGACACACTCTTGGTCTCTCTGTCGGTCTGTATGTCTGTTCATCCAATCAACTTCAGACATCGTATGTTACTGAGGACCCAAGAAGGTACAGTGTTGAGCTCTTGGGATCAATGGGACGTATTTATATGTTGTCTGTTATACACACATTGTGTGGTGAATTGAGAGGGACCCCTATTAACTGTTAAAACTTATCTATCTACTGTAGACTGATCCATTTAGTTTTCTCTTGATAGATGTTTGGGAGGTAGAATCCTCATTTTCGATTTGTTTCTGAGCTGAAAAATAGATTAAGTATCTTACAAAGTCAATGGCACCTTGTAACAATTTTAATCATCAAATTCAAATGATGCTTGATGAGACAAAATATTATGACTTTCTCAAAATGCTGTTTTGTTTTTACTTTCTAAGCTGTCTTTCATTTCTGACACAGATTTTAGGCTCAGGTGGCTGATGTTTGTGTTTTCATGACGTCACTGCAGTGTTGTAATGATTGACCTTCTTCCTGTTGGTTGTAACTTGTAATATTCTGAGTTGCGTCTGTCTTTGCGTCCAGGTTACAGTGGACAGATTTGGATTCAATCTGTGGGACAGATCAGCCTCAGCACCGAGGATCAGATGATTAGATTTTAGAGGTGATCTTGATAGAGGATTTATTTTTGGTGGAGGGATTTTAGTTGACCAGACGGAAAGATGCTGCAGGTTCATGAGCTCTGACCAAAGAGTCAGTGTAAGGACCTTTGATTTTTATCACATTATTCACTTGATACAAGTTTCTCTCTACACTTTGGTACTCATAACCCATAAAAATATCTCTGTGCATTTGGAGTGGGTCTGAGTGCCACACTAACAGTACTATGTATATTTTTACATGGCATCACTCTTTTGTTAAAAGCCCGAGATGAAAAGTAAATCTGTGGAGAGCTGAAGGATTTATTGTTGCTTCAGAGCAAGCAGCAGTTTGAGAGGTCGTCCTGAAGTTGAAGGTTTGATCTCACTTTTTTTAATATAGCTTTATGTTCACAGTCTGAATAAAATGAAAAAGTAAACTGGGCTGGTTAAAGACAACTGATTTAAAACTAAATTTGAATAAAAGGTTTCTTTTGATCAGGTGGAGCAAAGTGGATA